ATTCTGCAATAAAGAACTCTCCTCGACCAGCACCGCCTTTTCGGAATATAACACTAGTAGACAAATATGGTTATAAACCCGAAGTGATAAGCGGCTTTTGCACTGACAAGGGCACTGATGGCGTCCCTTCAAAACGCAACTGGTGAACTCACTTTAGATTAGAGCGTATTCAGTCGAAGTTGAGATGATAGTTTGTGTCCGTTTTTAGCAGTCATTTATCTTGATAGCCATTCCGTACCCACACTTTGATGCTTGGCCCATACTAGTTGTTTGACGGATTGTGTAGTGTACATATCAGAATTAATGGGGTATAATCATCAAGTAACGTGTGTTTTGCCACAGATCTAAATGGATCAATAGCAGAGGTGATAAGAAATGGTTTTTGGACCGACAGATCTTAACTTTTTGTGTGATTGGTTTCGCGTCTAGACTTAGTTTTGTTGAACCAATTGCACAATTTCGGTTTCTCCTTGGACGTGCAAGTGTAATTTTAAACGGAACTCTACATTATTTCATATTATAGTATATTATATTTCACACTTATCCGACTCCGGACAGTTTGTCGAACAAATCAGAGTACTGAACTCTTTATTTTTTGTTACCCAATGTGAATTACAGTAAACGGGGAAATTCCCATGGACAAATAGCATACTGTAAAGGGGAGAGTAGGGGAACATTCACGTAAGATCCAGTTCATTGATTTTGCGTTTAAAAAGTGTAAGATTGTAAGTTGAGGGAAAAACAACAATGGGGAGGGTGTTCCACAGTTTGGCAGTTCGGGTTAAAAAGAAGATTGAAGTAGCGAGGTACGACACTGGGAACAGAAACCTGATAAGGATGACTAGATGCTTGTTTATGGGATGGGTGGATAAAAGTTGCAGGGAGAGGAACTGCCGAGGTAGGTTCCGAAGAACAAAAACCAAGGTAGTAGCGGTACAATAGGGACAATGAAGCAACTGCCCGACTATGGGCTAGCGACTGGAGACTAGATGTTAGGGAAAGAGCATCGTTTAGCCGGATGGCTTTTCGTTAAACAAGATCAAGAAGGAAAAGGGAAGAGGACGAAGACCCACTCCACACGTGACTACAGTATTCAAGAGCAGGGTGGATTTGAGCTTTGTACAATAGATGAGCTAGGGCGGAGGTCTGGCGCGAAATAGAAATCCAACCTTGCGCGCAGCATATGAAGCTAGCTTGGTTATAAAAGGGGACCAGCATGAAGATGTTATAGGCTATCCAAGAAGGGAACCAGTGTCTGTGGAACGCAGTTGGGTGGAATCAAAAGATAAATGAGGGGAGAATGAATGGTGTTTTAAAGAAATTAAAAGGAGAGAGGTTTTAGAACTAGTGAACGAAACGTGGTTTGTGATTCCTCAGGAGGAGATGTGTTCGAGATCGGAGTCCAGTGACAGATCAACTGCACTACGGTCAGCATCGATGTTGGTTTGGGCATGGCGAGCAGTGCGATAGGAGAGGGAGCAGCGGAGCGCGGCGTCATCAGCAGAAGAGTGGATCAGGTTAGTAGTTTGGGAAAGGATATCATTGATAAATAGAAGGAAGAGAATGGGCGCAAGTAATGAGCCTTGGGGAACACCAGCGTCCACAGGGAAAGGCTGAGATATAACCCCATCAACTCGGACGGAGATGGTTTGCTTGCTGAGGAAATTTGATATCCACGCTACGAGCGATGGAGGGAACCGGAACACGGGTAGTTTCGCCAGTAGACCTTCGTACCAAACTCGGTCGAGGACCTTTGTGATGTCAAGCGAGACCAGGTGTGTTTCCCCGTGGTTATCGAGTGGAGCTGACGAATATTGCGAGACAAGAGCTAGGAGGTCACCGGTAGAACGGCACGATCGAAAGCCATACTCGCGGTCGCTCAGTAGTCCTTCACGTTNTCACGTTCAAGGAACGTGCGTAGCTGATCAGAAATGTTTCAAATACTCTCGAAGGAACAGACATGAGCGAAACGGGTCGGTAACAAAGAAATCAGTCCCTAATTTACCCGTAGGCGGAATACTGCTGGCTCCTTATTGACAACGCAGTGGCGTGAGTTAGTCCAGGTTTCACACCGCAAAGAACGGATATTTGAAATGCACGTGGGTGCCACGAAAATTGTTCGGTTATGCATTGTCTGTGTATTATTACGTGTAGGGGGAGGGGAGGGGGGCAGACGGGAATGATTTTCAAAGGCTAATGAAAGCTCAGAGAAATGCCGAATCATGGATCAAGGATCAAATCGTTTCTGAGTAGTCTTTGGATTTCATGTTTTATGTTGGAGTAGTATCGCCTTTTGTTACTTTCTTTGATTCATAATATAGGTAACCGACAATTTAATACTATATTTCTCTTATTTCTCTAAGTTCAGATTGCACAACAATCAAATTAAAGTGAAACATCTTTATAACCAATAATCCAGTCAATTATTTATTGAATTTTTTTATTACACAGCATTGTGTGATGAGCAGCAGAAGCAGAGGACTCACCGTTCAATCATGGTAACTCGCAATCTAAGCCCCGGCACTTGCAGTTGTGAACCACATAAAGCTCCACTAGCGTATGAGAGTCGGGAGGCAATGTAGCTGCTTATGCATGGAATACCGCTGTTGCTGAGCTCAAATTAAGTAAATTCTCTTGGAAAATTCACAAACTGAGTCTTCGCCCAGTCAAAGACTCACTTTCAAAGCAGAAGAGGTGTCAAATCACAGTCCGTTAAAGTCCAGTATCCGGTTCATCAAATCGTAGTCTGTTTGGGGTCAAATGCCCAGCATGCCCGGTATCTCCGTATGCCCAATAAAGCCCATGATCACTACCAGAATCAAAATGTGGATGCGGTTTGTATACCTTTTTGGTTGGTTTGGAATCAGGGTATTCTGTCAACTCTTCTAGTTAAACTAGACCCCTCACCGGGCAGTAGTAGAGAAAGTAGATAAGTTTTGCTATATCTCACCTGGCGGATGCATCACAGGTGAAGTGTCGGCGCTCATACAGAAGGCTCGGTTGGCATATGCCAATTTGAGATATTTGTGGAGCCGTCACGAACTCCGGTTGTCTGTGAAGGGTCGAGTGTAGCCGCGACAGTTCGGCCAGTTCTGCTATAGGGCGCAGAAACTTGACCAATAAGACAACAGGACAAAGATAGACTGTCGGTGTTTAAACACCGCTGTCTACGTAGCATTGCACGAGTTTGGTGGGGAAACCGGGAGAGCAATGCCGAGGTTAGACGTAGAGTTTTAGGTAATCGCGGTCGTCCGCTGGAGAAAGTAGTCGACCTCCATAGATTACGTTGGTTGGGGCATGTGTTACGCATGTCACCAGATAGGTTGCCACGGCGAGCGATGTTCGCCGAGGCAAGTAGTGGATGGAAGAAAGTCAAAGGTGGCCAAGCTAAGACCTAGCGCGAGGGTATGAAAACCCTGACCAGGAGATTGGCTCACATATGTCCAGTTTTGATCCCTGACTGGGGACCCCGAGATCATGGTTACCGATGATTAGAGACATTGAGCGATATAAATGCGTGTCGCAAGCATCTACTCATTATTCTTGTGACTTCAGTCTATATAAATGTGCTACCTTCTGCTTGAATCTGCCCTCAACATTCTAATCACCATCCAAATGAGCAACCCAAACCGGTGCACGAAAGTGCATGGTTTATGTTTGTAAGAACAGAACAGTTAAACTACTTGTAATTCTCTGATTCAGTTGTAGCTCCAAATATTAACCTTTCCTTCTCTGTTTGGGGAAGAAAAACACTTCCGTCACGTAAAGGCAGCCTATTGAGCTTCATCAGTAGGAACTACCCGAGACACTTGGTCGAGTAGCAACATTTCGAACGGTGAAAGTTCATTTATTTGCTACGTCACAAACGGCGATTCTATTACATTGTGCGTCACAGTCAAGTAAATAAGTTTAACATTATTAAGATAATGAAGGCAAATCATAATTTTATCTCCTTTGCCATTCCAATATTTTCTGTTAGAATCCGCGGTGCTCTTCTTTTTATCACGATCTTACTTATCGGAGCAGGCTGGGCGTTTATCAAGCACATGCTTACACCACGTGAGCGCAACGTCTTCTTCATCGTGATACCTTTGCAGGTGAGTGTTTCTCCTAAACACACATTGACTTTTCTCTCTTCGCATTCTTCTCGCTGCCCTGTCCCGTCCTTTAATGTTATAGTGACCTAAGGTTCTGTCTAGCATATATATCGTGTCACTATTAACTTAACTCTCAAATATAGCTTTTAAGTATAAATAAATCAATTAAGCAGTCGACTGAGAGTATTCCTCAAACTATCTATGAGCTCCTGTCATTGTTCCTCTAACTTTGAGCGTGCTAGTAATAACTTCCAGCATCGGGTCCATCCAAATGATATGTTCTTTTCGTCACAGGAAGAAATATTTCCTTGCTTTTCAGTCCATGCTCTGGTACTTCTGCTTTAGATAAGCGCTGTTGTTGCGTTAGTTTGGTTAATTTTTGAGACATCTATCGTTTTTCAGCGCACATTGAACATACCGGAAACCGTCATGCGACGTTAATTGACCTTTCTCTCACTCTGACACTTTCATGTTTCCGAGTCTTATTTGGTAGAGCGTATACACTCTTCTTAAGATTTGTTGTTTTCCTTCCGTATGACCACGCAGATTGAATTTTGTGTGGGCTTTGTGAGCTGTATAAATGCAGCTATCGTAACTGAAGGTCGCCATTACAGGTTCGTCAACCGGTAGGCGCCATGAGTGTACCTGAATCATTTTTTTGTGGGTTTGTCAGTCTTTGAATCGAGCAAATCAGGTTGTTTCCAGGCTTGATGCTCTATTTGGTTTTGTTAAGTTTTCTGTGTGAAGACGCAATGGTTTCGTCACCTGTTTTTTGTTTTATCTGCTACATTTAGTGCGTGGTACAGAGTTTCCTTCGGACATTGGATGTGCCGAATCGTACTGTATTGTGCATTCTTTCGTTCTCACCAGATATGTTTTCATAAGGGATAACAGAAGCAAAACAAAAATGAAGGGATCGTGTACTCTTGTCGAGTATTGTATTGATTTTAGCCATTCTATTCTAATTTCTGATCATGGGTATAAATATGGCAATTACCTGACAAAGCCTTACCCGATACGCCTACCTGAAGAGCGACAATCGGGAAACTGGTCGTGTGCTTTCAGCAAGATCTTGTTGGGTTATTCTGATACTACCCTCATGCACCATAGGTAAACGGGCTATCCGAAACAACGCTGCACTCGATCCATTTTGGAGACATGCAGTCTGTCACCGCCAGTTCCCGTATGTGTTCTACATGTCTTTCTACTTTCTTGGCCGATTACCAATGGTTTATCATATCTTTTCATATATTTTGCTTGTCACACACAATCATCTAATGAAATATGTTGGAGCTGCTCATGGTGTTATCTGCCCAGATGCTTGATGATGTAAGGGACATGATGTTCCGCCTGACTAACTCCAGGTAACCAACTCTTAGGTGATCTGTAATGAGCTTCCAGGACTGAAACATTGTCAACTGATACCACTGTAATTAAAAAAAGCATTGTTTCAACTTCTGTGGTTCTATCATTATTATTATTATTCAACACAACCAATCACAGAGAACTGGCAAATGTGCCAAAACAAAAAAGAATCTGAGGAATGTGTTCATAGGTTGTGTGGGCATGCTTCTTCCCGGTTACCCTGACCGAGGAAGGGAGATAACCTCGGGGTCCCCACCCGAAGCCTTTGGCTGGGAAGCCAGACCTGTAAGGCAACAGAACAGAGCTCAGATTCCGCAGTCTATTGGGGGCCGGTGTCCAGTTCATTGGATCATGCACCCTTTGGACGGGGTCAAACGTCCAAGGTGTCCAATCGAGCCGGTGAACACCGCCACAACCAGGAAGTGTGTTTGTGATTCGTACGCCTCTTCTTGGTTGGTTTAGAATCAGGGTTTTTGGCCAACTCTCCTAAGTGAACTACCAGTGGTCCACCAACCCGGTTATAGCCCCGGATGTCGGCTTTTCGTCCTCTCACATAATGGAAAAAACCTCCACGGAAAGGCAGTGATTAGGGCTTTCTCAACAGCGACTATTCAAGACGCCTGGTCATATAGGAGCATTTCACGAGATGTAAGGGAAAGGTGACCAGTCACAACCCGAGACACCTACCCCGACTATACTGGAGGCGTCTATCATTATGAATTAGTTACTCACAGAGTATTAAAATATTCTGCTGCTAGCTGATTAGAGAGGAGTTTTCTAATTCTGGTCTATCAGACTAAGTGTACATATTCGAGATTGTACTGCAAAGTAGTTGTTTATGTTTTAGTCTATATACTGAGTGTTTCCATTCTAAAAAACTCTCACGAGTTAGATTCTGATTGCCAGAAACTTAGGATGCGCACACAGCTAAACGTTCGTTTATTACACCTCATTCTTTTTCCATCGATAGACTAAGTCGCTCGCAGGGCTGTTGGAGAGGAACTCAAGGGCATTGTAGTCCAAGATTCTAAGCGCCATCACAGCTTGTTTATCTCTTGTTCAAGGATTCTCGGAAATGCACCGTGCAATATACTTGATTATCTTTAGACGCTGTACATTTTTTTAAATTTTTCATCCTCCAAAACAGTGACTTTCAAGTCACAGTCGGTAGACAGTACATCTAATTTATGACTGTTTCTGGTCTTTAGATTCTCGCTAATGTGGCCACCATAGTGATTGAGGAATCTGAAGCAGGTACAGCTCGATATGCCCTGTGGAAGGATATCTTTATTTTTGTTGATTTGGCGTGTTGCGGTGCGATTCTTTTCCCTGTTGTTTGGTCTATCCGTCATCTGCAAGCGGCATCTCAAACCGACGGAAAAGCTGCCATCAACCTACGAAATCTACGTCTCTTTCGACACTTCTATATTTTGGTAAGTACTTTACTGGATCTTTAACCTGCTGTTTTTTCCGACGTGTTGCCGGTGTTCCACAATGATTCTCATTGCAGAAGTTAAGGGCAGGGACTAGACAGACAACAATAAACAATAGTCGCATCAGATTAACGCAAAATTCACTGTTCTCTAATGAACTTACAATACGTGTAAAGTGAAGCGGGCACAATATGATTAGCAAATGTAACTGTAGCGCTTTGTGGTAGATAACTGGGCATTTTCAATGTGTCCTAATCACTAAAACCTACAAATATGAATTTGGTGTTTTAGTTCTTTTCCTAACGTTTTGTTTCTTCCTAGCCCGCTCACTGCATCCAACGTGCGCCAAATTGCGTAAAGGAACAGCTTGAAATCTTTGGTCGGTAGGTTTTATGTTCGTAAAGCAGAATGAATCGCACAGTAGCAGTGTACGCTTCAATCTCATTCGTCGCCCAATCAGTAGTGAAGTAGCTGATCCTAACTGCTACAGCAAACGTAAACACATTGTTCAACGACTATAGGAACACCTTCAGCGCGGATTTTGAGAAGCGGCTTATGACATCATTCACGAAGGTTCCAAGTCCACCTTTCAAAATCTCGCCGTTTTTGGGAGACATGCTTATCCGTCCATTGTCTGCCTCACGTGAGGAGTGCACGTGAGAATCAGGCTCGTTTTAGACCTTGTCGAGTTTGCATCAATCACATTTTCACTCCGCCAAATTCTGGAGCACAGATATCCCTTCCGCAGACCTGCCATTTCTATCGTCCTCGATCTGAAAGGGACTTTCGACTCAGTCGACTACTCTAANGAGAAGTTCATTTCAATTTTGCGATCTCTTTATGGTAACACCCGAAGCCGAATCTGAGCTTACGGCACTTTTTTGCCCGAGTTCATTACAGAAAGTGGTGTTCGTCAAAGATGCCCTCTCTCTCCTTTTCTTTTTAACTTTGTTATAGATTTGATTATGGAAACAGCCCAATCCTCGTGCGAGGAAAGTGGCGTCGATTTACTCCCAGGTAGCAGACAGTCTGATCTAGAGTATGCAGACGATATTGTGCTACTGAGTGAAGATCCAGCTAAGTTAACAGCTCTTCTGTGTAGTTTGAGTGCTAGTGTATCTATGTTTGGTATGCGTTTTGCATCTTCAAGGTGTAAAATGTTGCTCGAAGATTGAGATGGTCCAGTCCCCAACCTCACCATGACCGGGGAAGTATTAGAACAAGTGGAAGTTTTGTTATTTGGGCAACTATATCTCACCTGGTGGTCCATCACAGTTGAAATGCCAGCTGGCATACAGAAGGCTCGTTTGACATTTGCGGCGCCGTCGCGACATTCTGTTTCCTCGAAGAGTCAAGTGTATGCCGCGGCAGTTCGGCCAGTTCTGTTATACGGTACTGAAACTTGCCCATTATGAAAATAAGATAAAGTAGACTGTCGGTGTTTTAACACCGTTGTCTGCGTCCCATCGCACGAATCGGTTAGGGGTAGCCGGGAAATCGCCAAAGCGGTTTCACGTAATTTCTGCCCTTCTAATTTTCCTCCCATTTGCAATTCCTCTGGCACTCTTGTTTGTGAACCCCACGAAAAAGCAGATGTATTCGCTTCTCGGTTTGCCTCCAACTCCACCTTATCTGCCTACTCTACTGTTTAACTCTCCTATACATGCAGCTACTACTCTCTACCTATCATAACAAGCATAAAGGTCCACCATGCTCTTCGTGGTTTGAATGTTTTTGAACCACGCGGTCCGGACGATATTCCACCTATGATAAAAGTACGCGCCCCGGAGTTAGCCCCGGTTCTACACCGCCTTCTCTGTTCTTCACTCGATCCTAAATCTTTCCATGGAAAAATACCGTTATTTTTTCTATTCTTAAGCTCAGGGACCCTTTTGACCCCAACAACTACCGTCCCATCAGTCTCACACCGGTAATTTCGAAAGTGTTTGAAACCATTATCTCCGACCAGCTACGTGCGTTTCTCGATTCCGAAGGTTGTTTGAATGACCGTCAGTATGGATTTCGCCCTCGTCGATCTACGGGTGACCTACTGACACTCACATCACATTCCTGGTCGACTGCACTCGATGACCACGGAGAAACTAACATGGTCTCACTCGACATTTCAAAGGTCTTCGACGGCGTTTAGCATGAAGGTCTGCTGTCGAAATTACCTACGTTCGTATTCCCCCTGTCTCTAATATCATGGCTCCCACGTTTCATTAGCAAGCTAACTATCTCCGTTCGAATAAATGGAGTCCTATCTTGGTCATTCCCTGTGAACGTCGATGTTCCCCAAGTTTCCAAATTTTCGCCCACCCTCTTTCTTTATTTATCGAGTATCTTTTGTCCAAAACCTCTAATCCCATCCGCTGCTTTGCCGATAATGCCACTCTCTATTGTTCTGTTTCTTACCGCACAATCCACCAATCTACTACCAATATCGATCCCGATCGTAATGTCATAAATGCCTTACCTCCGATCTCGAACTAATCTCTGCATGGGGTTCTACCAACCACGTGTGTTTCAATGCTTCCAAAACTTGTCTGCACTCAGTCTCTCTTAAACATGTCTCTTGTTCTCCTCAACTGATTTTTGATTCTCTGCCCCTTCGTTCCACAAATTCTCTTCCTCCTGGGTTTATCCATAAATTCTTCTCTCTGTTAGCCCCCTTTTATCTCTACACTTGTCTGTCGCGCTGCGCGCAAAGTTGGTTTTCTATTCCGCACAAGGCGTTTCTTTACACCCAAGCACCCTTTATGCAAAGCTCAAATCCACCCGATGCTTGAACACTGCAGTCACCTATGGGGTGGAGCTTCGTATTCCGCTCTTCCTCTCCTCGACCGTGTTCAACTTAGAGCCATCCGGCTTATCGACGAACCATCTTTAACTTCCACCTTGCAGTCACTTTCCCATCGCCGGGCAGTTGCTTCGTTATCTCTTTTCTATTGTTACTATTTTGGTTTCTGCTCTTCCAAACTCGCTTCAGCGGTTCCCCTTCCATTGACCTCTCGTTCATCTCAATCTCAGGCGACCAGTCACCCTTATCAGGTTTCTGTCCCCAGATGTTGGGCTTCTTTCTTTCAATCTTCTTTTGCCCCGAGGACTGCGAAATTGTGGAACACTTTTCCCATTTCCGTGTTTCCCAGCTCTTATAACCTTGCTCTTTTCAAAAGCAGGATTAACAAATTGGTTCTTACTTGAATGTTCCCCAACATACCCCCCCTTACAGTATATCATTGATTATGGGGTTTATCCCTTTTGCAGTAAATCACTTGGTGTGTAATAAAAAGGACGAGAAACACTTACTCTACCTAATCACTCTGCATTTCTTCATGCCTCGTCTCCACGTCATCTGCTGGCCTCCACATGGCTTTCTCCAGCCTGAAAAAACCATCTAGGTGCATTGCGGTAGGAGACAGTTAAAGGTACACAAAACGTGTCCTAATCAACGGAGCTTGTTGAGCTGAATTCGATACGATAGCGAGTTCCTTTTCGATGCATTCCCAAACACCCGATGGTGTACGTCTAAGTTACCAGCAGACTTACTCCATCCCACTTGGGGCAGACTACACAAGGATCGATTTTCGAAAACCGCTAGGTGACGAATGTCTTCTACCCTCAAATTCAAGGTCTCACATCCGTCAAGCAGAACTGATCGTACAGGGTGCAGTTTACGCGACTTTTCAACGTCAATGAAAAATCACGTCACTACCACGGGTTTTTAAGTCCTGCGTACGTTGCCCGAGACTTGAAAATGCCGGCGGTTATCTCCTTTGGTGTGCTACCGTCGTTGGTTGCGCAGCTACGTCAGGTAATTCCTGATCGTCTAGTTTCAGAGCAGAACTCGGTGACACCCAGTCTTGTAGCATCACTTTGCACTTTGAAGGTGCAAAACATATGCGGAACGGAGCAACAGAGGTTGGCAATCTGCCAAGTGCTCTTTGTGCATCCTCCGTAGATTCGAACAGGCAAGCGATATCGTCAGCGTACTCTAGACCGCACAACTTTTCTCCAGCTGCCCATTCTATACTTACATTGTGGAGACCACTTAGTGCGTTCTCCAGGAACAGGACTGAAGAGATAAGGCACCCTTGACGGACACCGCTCCTGGTTTCGAACGATGTACTCAGCTCATTGTTGTCCTTTACGCTACTAGAAGTATGCGAGTAGATTGAACTCAGTATGTTCACATACTTCTCCGGCATTCCTTTGCGAAGGAGCGAACTCAAGGGATTCACAATCAACTGAGTCGAAGGCTCCTTTCAGGTCAAGGAACACGACAGCTGTCGGACGACGGTGCGTATGGCGTAACTAGAGGACTTGATGCAGAGTGAAGATTTGATCGATACAACCACGACCTGGTCGAAATCCTGCTTGTTGTTCGCGGATATTTCTTTCGCTAAACAGTGTCAGATGTCGAATTATTATGGAGGCTAGTGACGATTAGGACCAAACTTATTCCACGGGGTTAGCGCAGTCGTTCTTAAAAATGGGAACGATCAGTGATTCGCTCCAGGATGGTGGAATGCGCTCGTGTGACCAGATATTTTTTTAAATTTTATTTTTTATTACACACCTAGGTGTGATGAACAGCAGACGGGGTAAACCCCATAGTCACGAAGACCTGCTGTTCAGTGGTTGAAATCGGCAACCTAAGCCCCGAAACTTGGAGTGGCGAACCACATAAGGCCCCGATAGGTTAGGCGTGGTATTGAACCGGACGACAGCAGAGCTGCCTACCACCAAAGTCGGGTGGCGGTGGCGGTGGCGGGGCTCGAACCTCGGGCCATAGGGTCCAAAGCACACCGGTGACACATTACGCATTAGATACGCATTAGATCAGTAATGAAGTCTACCATGTCATCGCCCCCCATCTTGAAGAGTGGGAGGAAGCCCGTTAGGTCCTGCAGCTTTTCCTTTCTTCGGGGCTTGGATACAAGAACAAACTGCTGCAGTAGGGAGTTCACGTAGCGCTGCCCACGGAGCCTCAGCAACACCAGAGGAGGTAGTCTGGTTGGTGCCTGGCCAGCTGAACTGTTCGTTGAAGTACTCCGCCCACCGGTCAACTCGTTGTTCCTTATTGTGAGTGGCTTGTCCACTTTCGTCGCAGATTTTTTAATTAACTGTGGTTCGCCGACCTCCCCTATTGCATATCAGTCGGAACATTCTTTGACTCTTCCCTGAGGCAGCTGCTACTTCCACTTCACTAGCTATCGTTGTCCACTAGTTCTCACGGTATTTATTGAGGCCCCTTGTGAGTTGACGGTACAAACGCCACCTTACCCTGTCTGATCCCGGGCGGTTGGAATTTGCCGCTTTTTCTCCATCGGTGCTACTGACTGATCAGATATCCAATGCCTCGGTCGGGCTGCCGCTTCAGATCCACAAGCAACGTTCGCTGCGGAATGCATTGCTCGGCTAATCTGATCCCATTGTTCATTTACACTACCATCTCACAGCGCGTTTAGCTCTTGTCCTATCTCTGATTCAAAACGGGTGAGAACGGCTGATCTGCCAGTCGAGGTTGGTGGGGTTTTCTGCGACCAGTGAGTTGGAGAGTGAATCGCATCAAAACTAAAGCATGATCAGATTCAATGCAGGTGGTTCAATTGGACCTGCAGTTTTGTACTGAGTCACACCACGATAGCTCACTGCTATGTGGTCTAACTGAGTGAGCGTACCAGTTGAGTTTGAGCGCCACGTTGCTGTTCGTTGAGAGCCATGTCGGAAGTTGGTACTGGATAGGAACAGATGATAGTCTGCGCAGAACTGAAGAAGTCGATCACCGTTGTCTGTTCTTTGGCAGGGCAAAGCCCACTGACCGCCTAAGCAAGCTTCCGATGCGCTCAGTTTTCCAACTTGA